TTATTCTTTTATTTTGTTTATTTTTATTTTTTTTATCTTTATTGATTTACTAGACGAAATTGGGTGTTGACAAACTTAATATAAAATTTTAAAAATCTAAGTTTAGATACCCATGTAAACCTTTGTGATGATTGATGAATTATAATATATATATATATATATATATATATATATATATATATATATATATATATATATTGAATAAATGTCTCACATTTTATATTTTTGTGAAAGTTTGAAAATCACATCTTCTATTTTGTTACTATATTTTGTAAATTTCAGAATATATTTGAGAAAAAATCTTATATTTGGTATTTAATATATATTCTTCTAAAGGACAATGATTAACCAGGTTTCGAATATATTCGCTTGCATAAGAATATAGAATTTGTAATAAAAGCATGTGCGCTAGTGGTGACATCATAATCAAATAAACTCTAATTATATCATATTAAAAATAATGATCTAATTTACTCAAATAAAAAACAATAGTTTCATTGGGTGAAAGAGGATGAGTGTTTCATCCTACACCTCCAAGATCTCATCCTGCACCTCCAAAAATTCCACTTTTAACCTTCTGACATCTTATCATTATCCTACACCTTAAACTTTTTAAAAAATTTTATTTTTAATTTTAATAAATATATTTTTATTTTCTTCTTTTTCTTATTAAAAAGACTCTATATCACCTTAATAATAACTAAATTTAAAATTCAAATATTATTTAATATAATTTTATATTTTAATAATTATAAAAAATATGATTTATGTTATAATAATAATTATATTAAAAATAAAAAATAAAATAATTAAAAATAAAAATAATAACAAAAAAGTAAATTATATTAAATAAAATATTTAATATATTCAAATATATTAAATTATATTAAAATATTAAATTAAATTAAATAATTATTAAAATTTAAATAATAAACAAAATTTTAAAACAGTTATTTATCAAATAAAAAATAAAATTATATTAAATAAAATATTTAAATATACTAAATTATATTAAAATATTAAATTAAATTAAATAATTATTAAAATTTATATATAAAATAAAATTTTAAAAACTATTCTTTATCGGATATGGATATCCGATTTATAACTTATCGGATATCAGTATTCGATTAACAAATTTTCAAAATTTTGTCTTTTTAAAATTTTAATGATTATTAAATTTAATTTAATATTTTAATATAATTTAATATATTTAAATATATTAAATATGATTTTAAGTTTTATTTTTATTTTTATTTTTATTTTTATTCTTATTTTAGTTATTATTTTTCAATTTTTTTAATAGAACTATTTTAAAAATATAAATTATATTTTATTAATTATTAAAATATATAAATATAATAAGTACATATTATAATTTTTATTTAAGTTTAATATTTATTAAATTTTAAATAAAAAGCAAAGTATTAACATATTTTATAGATTTTAATATATAAATAAGCTTTTTAAAATTTTCATTTTTATTTAAAATTTAATAATTATTTAATTTATTTTAATATTTTATTATAATTTAATATATTTGAATATATTAAATCAAATTTATTTTTATTATTATT